ATTTAATTAAAATTTATAAAAAAAATTAAATTTGTTTTAATAAAAATTTATAAAATACCTAGCAGATGCATAACCTCTAGCAGAATTTGCAACTAATGCATTTATTTGAATATTTTGTAATATTGCTTTTTCAATAAATAATTCTATTCGTTTAATTACTTCTTCTGTGCGTTGACGTTCTCCACTTATATTTTCTGCATCCCATACAAGAACAGAGCCATTTGAAATAATTAAAACAACACCCATTATCTCTTGTTCTACTACATTTTTCCAACCATTAAAAGTTATAGTTACTCCAATTTTATCATTTGAAGCAAGACTTTGGATGTTTGATTGAACATCATTAGTTGTTACATTTAAAATCTGACCAGCAAGAGTACGACGATCAGGTAATACTAAAAGAGATGAAATAAACTTAAAAAGATCCTAGGTTTCATAATTATCAATCCAACGAAAAGGAAATCCATTAGATACAGTCATCCAAATTAATTTTTTTTCAAACATTGGAATTTTTGCTGTAGTTAACGGTTTTCCAACATATTGTATAATTTGGGTTTGGTTATATTGTAACTTTTTAGCTGACGATATAGTTTTTTTATTTAGAATTTCGGATTCGTCATTAATTTCTAATTAAAATAAATAAATAAATTAATTTAATTTTTTTAACATTAATTAAATTAAATTTTAATTTAAAATTACCAATAAATTGCTGTTTTTTAGTTATTGTTGTTGTATTAAATTTTGATAATGCTAAAATTCTATTAACTTCGTTTAATCCATGCTCAGTCAAAAATTTTGACAAGTTTGAAAATGTTTGTAATAATAACGTTGAGTATTTGTAATTTTATTATTTTCATCTTTTAATAAGAAGTCTTATCCTACATATCGAATACAAGATAAATAAAGAGCTTTCTTATTATTTTTATTTGCTTTTTTATTGTGAAGTACTTCAAACCATTGAGTTAATGGATGCGATGCTTTTCCTCCTGCATGTGTCATTATGCTTTGAAATGAGATTTTATTGATAATCATGCGATTTTGAATCCTTTTATATTCTAATCTTTCCATTTAAGTTTAATTGAGATTTGTAATACGTCAATCACAATGGACACAATAGACAATGCAATGGACACAATGGAAAACTGTCCATTGTCAATTTTTATATCAATGGATATGTTCATTGCCAACACTGGTCTGATGTATGCAAAAAGTTGGTTGATACTATGCTAACTCATATAAATGATATAATTAGAGTTAATGACGGCTATACAAAATGGTAAATAATTATTTACCAAAGTTTTTAATAAGTTGGTTAGATTTTTGATTTTTTTTTATATACTTAAAAAAATTTAATAAAAAAACAATCAAAAGAAAAGGATCACCTAATCGTTCAAAAATAAATATTTTTTAAAAATTTATCTCATTACTATAAACTGATTTTCATATATTGAATAGACTTAGTTATAATAAGTCTAATAAATAATTTATATAACACTGCACTGTTTTAATCACAAGAAAATGTCATTTTAAAATTTGTATTCAGATGATGCAATACTTTTGAACACCACTGTATATATGAAAAATTTTTCATAAAGTCTCAAGGAAGGGTAGAAAATCACAAATTCTTTTTGTGATATTTACATTTTTATTATCAATATTTTAGATTTAAAAGGATACAAAATTGTAAAAAAAAAATAGTCAGTTATTAGATTTTAGAATCAGTTAAATCGAGATGAATCTTCAGATATTTGATTTTAATCAATTTTATTTATTGTATTGCATAATGATCACAGACAAAAATTTTTAGTTTTTTGAATTCCTAATTCAGCTTAAAATAATCTTAGCATTCCTTTTTTTAACATCTGCGTGACAAAAAAATTAGCAAAATGTATATTAATCATTAAGAGAAACCGCCAGAAAAATATCAATTTTACTTTTATATTTCAAATATGAATTTTATATCAAAATATGTTCAGATTTAGTATCAATTTATTTTTTATTTTTTATCAGTCGTTTCCCCTTTTCAATTACAAAGGTTTTATGATAATCTATAATTATTATTTTAGTATATTGATCCATTCAGATAGCTGCTTAACATAGGTTTTTCTTTTTTTTCATTTTTTTTTTTTACTTTCTATTTTTAAGATTATAACATAAGTAAAGCTTTATTATTTTATTTTATAATTTTTTCATTATTTTAAACTTTAGACCGAAGTGAACTAACCTGAAAAGCATCATTCAATTAAAAAATCAAATTAAATACATTCACTTTTTTATTTTACTTTTTAATTCTTTTATAATCAAATAGAAAAGAACTTATTACCTATTTTAATTATTTTATTTTAAAGCTGTGAGGTGAAACTTTAAAATAAAATTATTTAACTTTTTATAATATTTTCAAATTTTAATTATAGAGAAAAAGGAATCGTTAATTTTTTTTTATAATAGAGTATCAAGTAAAATAAATAAAAGAAACAGTTAAAAAAATCTTAAAACTCCCCAATGATCTTAACAAATTTTACTAAATCATCTTTCTTCACTAATCTTATTCTTACGCCTTTTTATGATTTTATTTTCGATTGTGCTTATAATCTTATTTAGAAATTTAGAGTATATTAATTAAATAAATTGCTTATGTATAATACATAGATAAAAATTACTAATATCATTTTTGAACTATAATTACATTTTAATTTCTTTCACTAAGAGCTTTACTTTACAACTACGCAAGTCATAACCTATTTTTTGACATCTCTTACGCTTTCTTTGTTTCTTATTATTTCCATCTGTCTCTTTATTTTCTAAGTCATTTTCCGATCTTAAATTCATTTTTACCTTTTTATTCCATTTTGTAGTCTCACCTTCACTTAAATAGTGATTTAGAGGTCATTCATAATGTCTTAAAGTAATAGGGTTAGAACAACTAATTTCATGTTCAATTTCATTAGTATTATTTTCATCTGTTATTTGCTGAATATTATTTAAACTTTCCTTATTATACTTTTGAAATAATTCTTGCTGTTTATCTTCAATAAAATTTTAAATATTCCATTCACTTCATTAAAACAGTCAAGCTTCTGAGCTAAATCTAATACTTTTCTTGCAAGCCCCAAAGATCTTCCATATTTTGCTTTAGCTGAAACAATACTTTGAAGTTCTGCTGTATATACTTGCCTTTCACGAATATTATTAATATATTTAAAATTAATTTCATTATAAACAGCTTCAGTATTATCATTCTTAACAAGTGATATTGCATCTAATAAAGCTAAATCATTACTAGTAACATCCAATTTTGCATCTGATATTAGCATTGATTTATTAATGTAATATTAAATTTTGCCTATGAGCTTTTTCTAAGAACTTTAAAAAATATCTACAAGGAATTTTAAGTAATATCAGAAGATTACAGATGCAATAATGCCTTCCATTTACTAATAAAATAATGAAATGAGATTTTGTTGGAGATAGTTCAGGTTTAACATGCCAAATTTCAATAATTGAAAATCCTTGTACTTTTTCTATCATATGCTAAAATAAAATATGTGTTGCATCATAATTATCTTCTCGATAATTATCTTGATAATTATCTCTGATCAAATACTAAAAGAATTTAAAATTAGTATCAGCTCTAACACTAACTAATCATTATTCTATGCTTTTTAATTTCAACTCTAATTCTTACCTAATTTTATCCTAATCCTAACTCTAATCCTTTACCCTAATCCTCATCCTAATCTTCTCACCCTAATCCTCACCCTAATTCTAATTTATCCTAACCTTACCATAATCTTTACCCTAATCCTAATTCTAACTAATTGTACACTTCCCAGTCAAAAAAGTATTGGAATATTTAATTTTTGTTAAACTAATTAGCATAATTTTGCCGATTATAACTTGTGATCTAATGCATAAAAATGAGTCATTTTTTTTTCTTGCATAGCTACAAACTTCTTGTATTTGAATATAATTTTTTTTAAATACCTAAAATCAGAGAACTTTTTAAATTTGAGCAAGATAAAATAATTGGCCTTTAGAAAGGTGGTCATTTTAAGCGAGATATTGTAAATATTCTTGACCATCCTAAGTCAACCATTCATAAATTATTGAAAATTATAAAACTGAATATCAAATTTCCAATACTTTTAGGTCTACAAACAGAAATATTAGATATCTTATATCTTATAAAATCTGTTAAAAAGAATAGATAACAATAGATGAAATTACAGAAAAATTCAATCAGATATCAATAGTTTTAATGAGTTCTAGTACTATAAAGTATACTTTACATAATAAAAATTTTTATAGTTATACTGGAAAAAAAACGTTTTGTATCTAAAATAAATCATAAAAAAGTTTAGAATAGTGTCATATTAGAAAAGATTGGAATCTGAGTGGAATACAATAATATTGAATAATGAGTCTCACTTTTTATTATTTTAAATAATATTTATCATTGGATCTGATATCATCTTCATGAAAAATATGATATAAATTTTTTAATTCCTACAGTAAAGTCAGAAAATTAAGGCATTATTATGAAGAGATGTTTTACTAAAAATAAGATTGGTTCTTTAATTCAAGTTTCTAGTAAAATCACAAGTTCTGTATATAAGTAGGGCAAATTTGGGGGTTCTGGGGTCAAAATCGAAAAAAGATATCCAGAAAGATCCCAATCATAGGCC